GAGAATGAACGCACAAGACGCCTTCCGGGAATCTCTGTTTGATGCCCTTGCCGATGACGAAGGTGCAGCGTATTGGGAAGGCGTGTACGGCCAACCTGTTCATGTGTACCCCAACACTAAGCCCGGCCCTGATGGAAAGCTAGAGCGTATGTCGGAGGAAGAATATGCCGACTATGTGCGTAGTAAGATGTGGGAGAAGAGCCACCAGCACGTCCTTGAAGAGCGAGAGGCAAGAGAAAGAGCGCGGCAGAAGAGAAAAGACCAGCGGGCAAACCTTGACGAGAACGTTGCGCAAGAGGAACAGGAACGGGAAAAAATACGGAGCCAAATGGAAGAAAGCCTCAGGCGTGGCGCAGAGCGGAAGAAGGCCAAAGAGGCCGAGGCTGCCTGGAGCAACTATGTCAAGAAATGGGAGCAGCTCAAAAGTATCCAACATATTGCTCAGGAAACTAAATTGCAAGTTCAAGAACTCATCCCTTGGCCTGTGGTCTCAGGCAAAGCAAAGCACGTTTCCGAAATCGAGATTGAGCACTTTTTGCAAAGTTCAAGCGCTTGGAAGAACGATCCAGATGCTCTGCTCAAAATCGAACGAGTACGATGGCATCCGGATAAGATGCAACACCGCTTTAGACAGCATCTTGGCCCCGAAGAAATGAAGTCGGTTACAGCCGTTTTTCAGGTCATTGACCGCCTATGGGCTAAACGTCGCTAGATACCTGGTTGAGCTGTTGGTAGCGCCCTCACAGACGTACCTCTAACAAGAGTCTTTTTTTTAGTCTACATTCCAAAGATACCATACGGTCTTCATCAAGATCTCCGACAAATATATTAGTGTTACTCCTGAACCGCACCTTCACCACAAGCTAGGTCGGGCTTGGCACATGTGGACATTGGCCTTGACAATTTCTTTTGTTGTTATCTTGCCTCTCAGTGGCAAACCTTATAGTCTAACGCACCTTCTCCGCAAGCCAAGATATTCGCCAAGACACCAGTAATCTACACAAGACATGTATGGCCAAGCCACAACACATTAGGGGCGAGTATTGCTAAGTATCCGGTTAAAGCTTGGTCCCTGGGCGCAAGGCTTTTATCAACCCCCATCATTGAATATATACCTTGCGATCATCTGATAGAACCTTGCGCCTAGGATTGGATATTGAAGTTAAGATATTGACGAGAGAATAGATTGGCGTGAGGCAATGCTTCCTTATAAGCGGAGTCCTTGGAAGGGCTTGATTGACACGGTGGGCCTGGCCAATATGGCAACACCAAATCCCTATCACGAAAATATTGGAAGGCGTTACTAACGTCTCATTGTTCTTCATAGCTGCTCAGAGTGCCAGTGCACGAGAACAAAAATTATAATTATTTACTTTTCCGTCCTTGTCACACCACGGTTGCCTTGGCCAATAGCATCGTCAAGCAAGCATATGTACACTAAATCGAAATGATTCGTTTCCACTCGGGCGTTTTACGGTAAGCCGACTGCCGTCTGCCGTTTGCATAGCTTGGGCATGAATAACCGGCGGGTTGGACGAGCCTCTTAACAACGGCTTTACGCTATGCACCCCACATATCTACCGGCAAAAGTAAGCCACTCAACATGCCTGTCTTGACGACATCGACATTCACAATTTGAAGATCCCTTGAAGCCGGGATGAGAGGCGGTTGTTCACCGATCAACGTCGATAGTGTACCATCACAACAGTGCGCAGGTACAATGTAAAGATGTATAAAAAGGCTTGCAAACCCTCGAAAATGCATGCCATCAAGCAACTCTATCACATCAATTCAAAATGGTCGCTCTCTCTTCTATTCTTCTCGCTCTCGGCAGTGCCACAGCAGTACTCGCCTCGCCACTCAACCTCATTCTCAACGCTGAGAAGCGTGATGAATCTGGTAACTTAATCGAGAGGTCAACTCCCTCCGGCACTGGAATGCATAACGGTTTCTTCTACTCTTTCTGGACAGACAACCAAGGCTCCGTGACATACAATAACGGCGCTGCTGGATCGGTACACTGCTTTATTCCTGACAATATCACCTTCCGCTAACAATTCATCAGTACGACGTCAGGTGGTCCAACGTTGGTAACTTTGTCGCTGGCAAAGGCTGGAACCCGGGTAGTGCACGCAATGTTACCTACTCTGGAACATGGAATGCTGCCAACGTCAACTCCTACATCTCGCTTTACGGCTGGACGCGCAACCCTCTTGTCGAGTATTACATTGTCGAGACCTACGGTTCCTACAACCCCGGTTCTGCTGCTCAGAAGAAGGGTTCTATCTCAGTTGATGGAGGAACTTACGACATCCTTCAGACCACGCGTGTCAACCAACCATCCATCGATGGCACCTCTACCTTTGCCCAATTCTGGTCAGTAAGACAACAGAAGCGTGTTGGCGGCTCCATCAATGTTCAGGCTCATTTTGATGCTTGGGCCAAGTATGGACAGAAGCTTGGAGCGCACAACTACATGATCCTCGCCACCGAGGGTTATCAGAGCAGTGGATCGGCTTCCATGACGGTTCAAGGCCCGTGAATAACTGTAGACAACTTCCATGGGCTATGGGATGAGCTAGGATGCTAACTGTAGCCGTTTGGTACAATATCTGTCATGTAAATTGTGGAAGGATAAACCAGTAAATGGTCGGCGAGTTATGTATGTAAAAAGAATTTACTGGATATGTGACTAAGATGTTTTAATGTGCTCAAATCATGAGTCTTACTGCACCCCCGTAGTAAAACTTTCAAACTTCAACACGCCGCTATTGTATTAGATGCAGTCAGACTACAGCTATCGAAGCGCACCAGGCCCTAGCCTACATCTATGACTACCATAGCATCATCGACATTTTCATTCAAATGGTTTTGACTTCTAGGACAAAGTTGTGACAATTTACTTCTTGCCCAACTCCAGAATGCCAATGAACGCACCATCATCCAACCAAATACCATTAACCTTCATTCCTACACTATCTGCCAGCTCAGCCCATTGCTTCTCGGTTCTCTCCAAAGCGCCTAGACAAAACATAAGCCAATCCAACTTAGCTTCAACGGAAGTAATTCCTGCTTCAGGTAAGTTAGTCTCATGAATTAAAATGACTGAAGCATCCGCCATGACGAACGATATTTTCAAGGATCGTGCGAGCCTGAAACTCGGGCCAATCGTACAAAATCATACGGAGATAGAAAGCTTTTACACCTCTAACGCTCTCAGGTTGTGGCTTAAAAAAATCATGCGGGATCTTAGCGATATGGCAAGGGAGGGTAGCGTTATCCTCAATGACCTGAGAAAGGTCTTCAAGAACGAGCTTTCCCTTTAGCGAAGTGAATCTCTCGCCAAATTTACTCACTTGATGGCCTAGACCGCCGCCAACCGTCGACGAACAGAATACATTCGGGATCAGAGTGTACTTTGCGCTCATCAGCGAGATATTGGCTTTGAAATCCGACGTCTTCGTGGCCTTTTTGCATTTCCATGGCTTTGTTGAAGGCGGCAGAGAGGCGCTCGTTGCCGGGTAAAACCATGAAGTCGAAGTAGTTACCCTTGTACCAGTCATGGGCAAAGTTGAAGGGTCCGTCATACGCGAAAACTAGATTTTGGTAGTTGTTTGCGGCAAGGTAATCGGGTATCATGGGGGTGGTGCGGTAGATATGGATCATGCGGATGATGGAGGGCTTGCTGGGAGCTCCGGTTGCAAGGGAAGGGCTGAGGGGTGTTGTGGCGTATGTGCCTGGGGTAGGCTCGGCAAAGATGTTGAGCGGGATGAGGAGTCGGATGACACGTTCTAAATTTATGTGAATGGTGGATTTTGGAAATTTGCTGCAGGATCCATTCAGAAGAGAGTTCAACGTACGTAGAAGATAAGGATTGGCTTTAGTTTTTACTGCGAATTCATCTAGTGTGATTAGTTCCCCATGCGCAAGTGCAATGTCCACAAGGTCTAGATCGATACCAACGCGAAGTGCAATAGGGTCAAAAACAGACTACGAAGGCCAGCTTGAAGCCACGAGTTTGCTTTGTTATAGTATTCCAGGTCTGAAAACTTTAAACACGTACCACAACTAGCCGCAAGTTCTTCTCTATGGGATTCTCGAGTACATCACGAGCTTAGCACTGAATTGCATAAGCGCAAATCGATCAGTCTCTGGAAGACCGCTGGGCCCTTTTGGGCGAGCTCGAGAATCTGTTGTGTTAGCCCTGCCATTCTGATCAAATTAGTTGCAACGGCAGGTACATGTCCACCGTAAACTTAGCTTAGCAGGCGCCAACAGAAAAGAGTCGTCACATCAAACTTAGGAGTACCGATAGCTACTATACGTTCTGAGACGTGGATACGCGGTCGTTGGTGTAGGCGAAATCTGGAAATCGACCCCTCATTTCACAGTGCAGGCTGCTTACCTTACGCTAAGATGACTTCCTGCAAGAATCACATATGTCAAGCGCTGAAAACAGAATCGCTGTTCTGAATGTTCTGATTGTACCAAAATTGTTTTGAGTAGTAGCTAAAATGATGAGGAAGTTCGTAATTGATTAAAACAAGAAATGTAGGAGATTTATTAACTGCGCAAAATACTCCTTATCTTAGAGGAGAGAATGGTCCTCCTCATCAAAATTTTGAAATAAATCAACTTCAATACCTAAGTGGACATTTGATCGTGTTCTGATCCGTATGGGGGCAAGCGTTGACAGTGGTATAAGCTAATACATCAAAACTCATATCTGTCTAAGAGGCATTCGAAGGGAATAAGTCTTTAGAAGATATCATCCCAAGGAACACGTATCAAAGTAGTGCCAATCGTGCAGACCGCGCCCCACTGATACCCACACAAAGGTGATCAAAATTTATGTGCTATCTAGCAACGCCTCACCGCCCAGCATAACAACAGATTGAATTTTCGATATCAATTCCAGCTCGACGTCTCAGTAAATATGCATTTAAGTTATAGCAAAGTTTTAGAAATCTCCACCAATTAGAACGCAGCATTTCAGAAATGTCCTTTTGGCTTAATGATAAAGCGTGTCACTAGCGATTCAGTGTTAGGTATGATACGATCGCTAATTCGATTCTGGTAGAAGGCAAAAGGTTTTTGAGAATGGATGATATTTTAAATCTGGTAATGGTCAAGCATTCGCTATTTGCAACTTCGGCTCAAACGAAGATACTAAAGGCATGTCTAGAGTCTAATAAGGGACACAAATGCAGTTTTTCTTCTTCCCACTAATGAATAGAGGATGATTTATATACCGCTCGATTCTTATCTACCCTTGATGCCTGCAAGTACCGCATGAATTTTTCAATATGGTGTTGTTCTCAGGTGCTGGAACTGGAAAATTTGAAGCATTAACAAGAATTAGACAATACTCCCTGATTTATATGTTGTGGTAATACTTGTGATTACTGCAGTCCAGCAGCCGCCATAGTGTGTCATACTGAACAGGAAGATGATGTAAATCTCATCAACATGTTGACGAAATCACTTCGAACTTCCTTCACTCTCGGTGGACCTTAATAAATCATGATATAGCGTTGTTTTAGAGGAAATATCAGAGTTCGTATAGCCAGTATCTGTATCCAGTGTTATTTCTGAGCCAATCAACAGCTTTGATCCATCCTTGACTGCTTCAGGCGCAATTGCGGAAGGCCTCGATATGTGACTAATAGCGGGACTCGTAGACATGGCCGGAGGACTTTTTTTCGCGTGTATTATAGAAGCATTGTGGACCTGGCCTTCTGGTCGATGTTCCCTTCGTTGCTTATCCATTGAAAAAGCTTCTGCTGATTCGTCCATGCTGCCAGCCGCTGTTGACTTATCATACTTCCGGAAAAAGAGCCAGAATATGATAGTAGTTGCAGCCATCCCCCCTGTAAGTGAAGCATAGAAAATGACGAGATTTGGATCGTGAGAAATAGCAGTCAAAGCCAATGCTATGGCCGAGCCAAGACCGCCGACTAGCAGACTTATGGCTTGCACAATAACTTTCATATTCTTAGGCGAGTGGTCGTAAGCATACTCGAGCCCAGTAACATAGCTGAACACTTCTCCCGTAGAGATCAAGAAATATACTGGTGCTTGGATCCAGACATTTGGCCGAAGTCTTAGGGGAGTTGATATTGTGCAATCGCTAGCATGACTGTAACAGGGCGATGAGCTATAAATAGCGTGTTGGATTACTGTCGCGTAGAGCATGGACAAAGAGATGAACATAAATCCAATCGTGATGCGTAGGATTGGCCCAATATAAATCTGGCGGCGGTGGAGGAGTGGATAAACCATCATTTGAATGACCGGCCCCATGAGGATGCATCCGACTTGGTTGAGGGCTGGTAACAGGTCATTCGGCGTATTGTTCGTTCTCATTTGACCAGCCTGAGAAATAAGGTTGTTTTGCATCTGGTCGAAGCAAACGTAAAACATCACGAAACTAAGAAGAACCCGACAACCCCGCAGCCCTCGTGTGAGTTCATCAACCATGTCCCCAGTCCATGTAACCGACTTTTGGCGGCTCTCGACTTGGTACTCTGGTTTTGCGTGTTTCATGTTGAAGCCGTTTTTGATTGCGCATGTGGTGATTCTTGCTGCTAGTGGCAGGACAAGATTATCCATATGAGGGACCTTTGCATACCATGGCTTACCAAAGATGAGCAATACCAAAGCGAATACCATGAAACCAAGTGTTAGCCCATAAGCTTCTGCAAAGCCATACTGTTTTTCCATGAACACTACCCCAAACCAAGAAAGCGAACCAACGTTTCCGACCCAGAAGTACATATTATAAATATACTGTAAGGTCAACTCATAATCCGTAATGACTTGTTCTCCACTCTCAAGCATCTTAAGCTGAGGTTTGGTCTTTGTGTACTGGTCGGCTACAAAGGGTGGGAGTATTGCTTTGACGCCTCCTCCACCAAGGCCAACAAGGATCATGGCAATAGCAAGCCCTGGTATGCCCCATCCTTTGTCCAGGTTGGATGGAATGGAGCTTATGGTGAGGGTGGCAATGCCCAGGCAGTACAGAACGACGCTTAGTACCAACGCTGTGAACTGTCCGAGCCGGCTGTCTGCGAGTATAGCGATAAACATTGGTGTAACATAGTAGAAGATATAGAAGCAACAGTATATGCGTGTTGCTTTTGCTTGCCCTAGGCCGAGTGCGCCTGGTGTTTCCCCTTGTGTGTAGTGCGCTGGATGCTCCATATAGTTCTCTAGCACAGCATAGTTAGCGTTGCCCTTTTCCTTCATGATCTAGTTATGTCAAATAAGACGAATACTTACGCCATGGCGCGGTCAACCCCCAAAAAGCTGCCCTTTCCCAAAACGCAATCATAAGTACAACCCACAGGCGCCATGGCACGCTATCCCTGACTCGCCGCAAGCCACTGACATGCTCTTCTGAAGTGATATAAGATACTGATTTGAAATCTGGGTTTCGAGGTTCTGTAATATGACGGTTGCCTTGATCATGAATCATAGCGGCGAGTTGATGGCTTGTGCAAGCAGGAGTCGAACCGTGAATCAGAGCACTAGTAGGGATATAGATGTATACAAAGTACTAGGCTATGAATGAAAAGCAGACAATAATCTAGGCGCAATAAGTGATATGATCACTTTACTAGACACTGCAGTCAGAGTCATTCACACGAGTGCTATTGAATCACTTGTAAAGTTCTCGCTGGCAGCGAGACACGTTCCTTTTGTAGGTACCAGACTCATTAGCTGAACAAAATAGGAGAATAAGACATTATGTCGGAAGCGTGTAATGGCCTTGCCGTGTCGTTCATTAATCGGGACTTCGTGGTGTATTGCGGACTCAGTGTCCTGAACAATGCTCCATGTCGCCGCTCGAAGGGCACGACCGGTAGCACCCAACGCGGCACACTAGGAAGTCACACATCCTTTTGGGTAGCTGGCCTAGAAATGATTACGCCCACGTTACACAACCACTGGTTTCGCGTGCTAAGTTTGAGAGAACCGCTCGCGAATTATACTAGGTTAGGTGATGGCTAATGTTAATAAATGGTTACAGAGCATTTTTTTAACGTTATTTGACCCAGAAGTCTATTTAAGTAGAGCGATATAACTAAGGTACCAATTGGCAGTATAGTGACAGGCGTCGATATTTGGGAAAGCTGCTCTTCAGCGCCGATATTACCATGTTGAGAGTAATACCTGGTATTCGGATGACACGTTCCTTTTGTGTGAGTACGCGGTTGACATGAGTTCCAACCAGGTGGATGCGCGTTTGACATAACAGGAGCAGGTGGTACCACATGTTGGACTATATCAGATCTTAGGACTATGCCTAATAGACGACTGAGCTAGCTACAGATGCGTTATGGCATTTTTCGTGACGACATCATTATCATCGTCTCACCCTGAGATTCACATAGCTGTTTTCGTTACTTTATTATTTTTACAAGTCCATTGGATGGCGCATTTGTAATCGCACTAGAACGCGACAGTCTTTAGGGCGGGCTGTACCCCATGTAAGCCAATGTGATTGAGTACGTGTACAAAAGCGCTACATTGCCTAATAAACGATAGTCTCCATAGGCGAAAGGAAGAGCTTGCGGCTGAGTGACCTTGAAAAGATGACTAGAAGATGTCAAGCAAGAAGAGAAGAAACAAGGTTGGGTGGCGTGTCTCAGACGTGCTAAATGGTGGTTGCGGACGTGAGCACCATTGGTACGTACGTGACAACCTACTGTTTTCGCGTGCGCCACACAAAACTCTTGAGTTCTCTAAAGTTTGTGGAGTTCTTCGTTATGAATAAATGTTAAATTTTCTAGAACATGATGCAGGAGGTCGCGTCTAGATTGAGCTGCGCACAAAGGCTTGCTCAGCGTGCGGCTGAATCATTAATTTACCAGGTTGGAAAGTAGCACAAAGAGCCGTTGTAACGCTGCACCCGAAGAAGATTTTGCCTGTGCTCGATAAGGCCCTTGTGACAGGCGTTGGTCTATCTTGGTAATCGAGTCGGCCGAAGTAACACCATGAGAGGGCTTCAGCGCAGGTCGCATGTGTGGGTTGTATACCTAGGATAATGTATTTAATCGTTGGTAGAACATCTACGCAGTACCTAATAAATATGATTTACCTATAGATATGTGTAGGATAATTGTAAAAAAGTAAAAATAGTGCGGGGTACTGTGCACTAAATAGTAGGCTGTCTTCACCCCCATGCTTATACTGTAATAGCCACGCTCGACTTGATGATACACTGAATGATGACTGGAATACCTACGCGTGACTGGGTGAAGTCTGCAATTGCAACGGATGACTTCGCTAAGTCTGGCCTAGAGCGACACTCACTGTGGGTCTCGCCGCCAATTTGTGGGGCACTGGGGCATGGCCTTTGTACAACCATGCAGGACTTGATATATTCATGTCCAGAACCCAGATTCCCCACGGAATAATACGGGGAGTGTAAATTTTGCATTTAACCATCATTATTTACCGGTCGCAAGGGACGCATTGTGGACTATCGCCATTTCCACTTCCACTTCGTCGCGTTCTCACATCCTTCACAATCCCAATTTTTCACAACCACCGATCAGTCGCTGAAATGTATCATCTTGACGGCAGCCCAGCCCCATCTGACCAGACACTTTTCACAGATCTGCTCAAAATCACAACAGCAAAATGGCAGGCAATACGCAAAGGAAGAGAAGCTACAGTACATGATGATGAAGCAAGCCCAAAACCCACAACGTCGAGGACCGCCTCCCAACTTTCGGTGCCGAAAGTAAAGGAGTAGTTCTTCTCATCTAGAATCTAAAGAGTTTTGGGAGATGTTTGCGAGCTATGGCGTAGGTACAATTTTTTTACTGTCGACAAAATGCACGCCATTTGTGCGACTATCGGTCTAAATCTGGCAATATCATAGCGCGAAGCCCCTCAAAGTAATCTTGTGTAGTTTGATGTAATAGAAAGCACAGCTAACCTACTATAGGAATGTGAAAATGGAGGTCCGTCTTCCGCAGTACCGAGGCAAGGAGACTCCTGCCTGCCGCGCATCATGCCTTTTCATGATGGCACATGGCACATTGTGGGAGCCACATTGGAGAAAATGGTGAGCCG